AGTGCCAGTGCTGCAAATTATGGCAAAATAGTGTGAGGAATAAGATTTGAAATGCCAGTTATAATTTCCAAAATTAATTTGTACAAGAAGCAGTTATCTCTATGAGGTACATTTCATAGTGAGGGGAAATGTCTTTAGTAGTTTGATGATGAAGTTGAAAACCATGCAAGCTTTCAAGTTCACCAATCCTCTTGGTACAACCTATAAAATGGGAATGGTTTGGCTTTGGGTCCAGTTTTGATTCCTTCAGCTATAAGGAAGTAGTTTTAAAGGTTTCACTTACTTCGACTCCTTTTACTCCCTCCATTTTCTGAAGATTACACTTTGCCTTCTTTACCTTTGTAGACTGTATGATTGGAAAAAGAATGTTTTTGATTCTGCTTATCTCTAAGAGGATGCCTCCTCATATGAACAGTTGCTATTTGGCCCCAACTCCTGATTTCCAAGCCCACAGGAGTACTCCTTCATTTAGGTGGGATGCAGCAAACACATTAAGTGGCTTTATTTCCCCTCTGCATTGCTCCTTTGTTTCAGAAAGAAGTATAGAGCTAGCTGGGGACTGTTGTCCCTTGTAACTGTATTAAAGTTAACTTATGAACAAACAAAATACAGCATTGCTACATTTTGCAGAATCAGCAGAAAACATTAAAGAATGTCAGAATTCCCTGCAACTGGGAAATGCAGCAAAAGAGAGAATTTCTGCCAGCTTACAGTATGCAGTATACTAACTACATCACACATAACAGACTTGTTTTTTTCCTGAACATGATCCTCCAATGTGACTCTTCACTTGAAAGCTGTATTTTTAAGAGGCTTTTGTCTTTATAAACTCAGAGCCTCCTATACTACTTGACTATCTCAATAGGTTTCCAAAGTACCTTTTCAACTCACAAAAAAACCATCTTTTATTGGGAATTAATGTTTGTTTTCCAATAGTCTTTCTCCTCAAATGCCCTTGCATTAATCTCAGTCAATTTCTACCTAATACATTCAGTATAACTCAGACACCATCCATGGCCCTATCTCCATAACTGAATTCATGTAAGCAATCCCACCATTTTATGTTGGATTTAAAAGGGCTCCCAATCTAAATGCACTTGAATAACCGAGGCCTATAAATTTTTTTATAAATACAGGTACCAAATTAACTGTATATTTGTGTATCAAGATTGGATATTTAGAAGGCAAAATTTTTCTTACTTTAAAAATATCTGACAGTACTAGAAGCTCAAGCTGTAGCCTGTCTTGTGACACACTGAAGACTGATAAACATTTTGGTCATAACTATGAAATCTTAGCAGTCAAGCAAGACTAATAGATAGCAAAGAGAGAAAATATTCATTTAAAGCACACTAGACATGTCCTTTAAGATCTGTTATTTATGCAAAGTGTCAATGTTAGACTAGGAAATGTTAACACTCTTCTAAACTATTAACGCTCTCCCTCCCAAAAACCTCCAAAAAGTCCTCATCCCCATGCACTGTTTCTGGTAAACAGTATGACTTAGACTGTGCAAAAAAAAAATCTCACAAACTGATTTAAATTAATTTGATAGTTACTCTCATTAATTGCTACAAAAAAAGAAATCCTTGAGACCAATAAAGTCACATAAAGACGTATTTTTTGATTTTTAATTATACATGCAAATAACTTTAATCACAACACCCTGAACATGTATAATAAATTCATTTATTTAAAACACCTGTAAAAGATTTTCTTAAGGCCTGAAATCTACTGCAAGGGCTCAAGCACATAAGCAAAACAATAAAGGGAATACCAGTTAAGATCGCTCCACTGGACTGTCAATAAAAAACTTTAAGTCACGAACAACACATAGATCAAGAATAGGAGTAAATATCAGAAAAGGTCCTACATGGGAACACACACAGAGCAAGAAATACCACACCACATATATTTTTGCATGCATATAAGCACTTTCAAAGTCCTAGCCTAGAAACAACTTTGGTGATAACTGGCTTACATGAGACTTGAGCAGGATCAAAACTGAGAGCTAGCCAAGCAAAAATCCCAAAAGACATTAGATGCCAACAAACACAAAATAACAAACTCCTGAAAGAATAACTTGCACTTATTCCCACATGGCATTGAATTTTGAGCCAAGTGTAAGCAGATAAACAAAACAATCATGCACAGGATGTGCAGCTCAACAGAATCTCTGCTTAACAGAGGTACACAAGACAAGAAACAAAGTGTTCCAATGAAAATAGGAAAGAGATTGAAAACATTCTCAATTCACCTGGAATACTGTTTTTTGTGACATCAGAAAAAACACAGAAAACTAGATTCACAGACTTACATGAGATATGAACAAATGCTAAAGATTCTAGGAAAAAAGAAAATACATATACACACACACATATACCCCCTCCTCCCTCTGCCGCAAAAAAATACCACACAAAACCAGAAGACAGCCGAAAAGACAGAAAATCAAAACACTTTGAGCTAATGCCTCTTTTCCTAATAAAAGGAAATGTGCAACCGTTATTAAAAAGCAATCTACTAACAACAATAGGAACTCTGTAATACTACTGTGGAAGTCATTGTCAAAGACAGATGCAGAGACAACTCACCTCATAAAAGGACAATGCTTCTATTGATTTTAAATCAATAGTCACCTGCATTAGATTGGACTTTTTTTCTACAAATCAAATTTAAAGATTCATGTTTGACTGTGTGATACGACTGCATAACCAAAATTAGATAGGCAACTGCCTTCCAGGCAACTCATTCTACATAACACATGGGGATTATCATTGCCCATGCAAACCAGAAGTCTCTGCAGTACTGCATAACTCACAGAGCTTAATATTTGAGTGAGGCATCACCCTTTTTCTTCCAGCATCTCACAGGCTGCAACTGACAGTGACAACATACCTTGTACCAGTACCTTGTAGCATTTCACTGTATTGGAGCATATAACCTACTTAAATGACAGATACAATGTACTTTCTAGATGAACACAGCATGCAGGACCTATTTGTACATGGTAAAGAAAACTGACTACAGTTCCTCCAACAGAACTACTATAAAGAAGCCTCATTGTATATACATATTTTTTTACTGTTTTAGAGGTCTCCATAAATACAGATCTACCTTATGCAATAATCTGCAAAGTCTCATATCCAGAAATTCCAGAAAGCTCCTCATTTACCTTCGGATAAAAAAATTGCATCTGAAACAAGTTAGAGAAATACAAACGTAAGCATGAGCTCAAATGTTGACTCAGATATTATTAGTATTACTCATATTAGTCATCTAACTGGGCTCATGCTGAGAACCCTGTGGGTGGACATATGAATACATAAGTAACCCACCAAAATCAGCGCACAGCTAGGGTCAGAGGTTTTGAAACAGCAGCTCTATTAAGTTAAATGAAAAAAATATAACTGTGTACTGCCTAATAAAAGTGATAATACTTGCAAGCAAGCTTAGGTAAAAAGTTGGTGGGCAGTGTTAGAACAAAAATGCTAACCTGTAATAGAACAAGAGCACTGGTATAGGATAATCTGGGTTCAAAGGTACCTCAGGGGGTCATCTAGTGCAACCTCCTCCTTTAAGCTCCAGTTATTTTTATTAAAAAAGACATAAGATTTTGGTTGCCGTCTTCCAAATCAGTTGGGTTTTTTTATAACACCATTAAAACAAGTATTTGTTTTATTATTGCATGGTCAACTACATCAATTGTTTTTTAATGAAAGTTTTGTAACATTTGATGGTAGTTCTCTTTTATTCATAACCAACACCATTTAATTAATGTCTCTGTTTAACATTACTACATTTCTGAATCTTATTTCCCTTTTAAAGTTCTTTCAGATGAGATGCTAGGTTGTTTCTTGTAACTGCTAACTTCGTCACTTAGCTTTTTGTTTACATAAGGTCATACGTAAAAATGCTCCAGAGCTGAGAAAAGAGACCAATGGCAAAGCAACAACCCTGTTCAGCAACTGCTTTACTTACAAACTGAGCAAGTTATGCCACTGCTAGTACAAGATGGTAGTGACATTCACTGTAGTAGTATTCTGTCATCATGCATAACATTACCTCCACATTAGAAATGGTTATTCCACAGAGATTTCAACCTTTTTATTAGCCGAATCATCACTCTGAACAGCTACAAGTGAAAAGCAGTAACAGCCTCCTTTCATTTTCCATTTCCATTTCCAGTTCCAGTCAGTCTGATTTGATCAATAAGGATGTTGAACCATTTTCTGCATTCTGTGAACTTCTTGTTCATCACAACTTCCCCTCTCAGCAGCAAATACTACTTCCTCATGTTGCTGTTGCTGGCATTTACAAAAATTAAAAACTCTGTAAAGAGCTCAAATTTAAGGCTCCTCTGGAAAGTGCACCACTACTTAAAATCTCTATCATTTCACACAACAATACTGTAGTTGTTTAATACAAAATTCTCTATTTACACCCCTGAAATCACTCGGGAGGTACTCTCATCAAGCAGAAGACAGTGATGGCTACTGTATTCCTACTGAATCCTCAAATTACTGCCACTGACCCCAAAAAGGGAAGATAAATGGGCAGGCCTAAGGAACATCACTACTATGTTACTCCCACATCACATACTAGGAAGACTGAGAAGCGGAGGAGGAAAAAAAAAGTTAATCAAACTGTTCCAAACTACCTTTACTTTAACTGTGCAGAGAATCTCTCTACCATCTCCTGTTAATTTTGATTTTCCTTAAAATACAAACTTAATAAATACTCCTCTCTCACCTAAACTACATATACATTAAATATATTAACAATAGAACAAATTAAGAAGTAGATAAATTGGAAGGCTTTACAGGGCTAAGATGTCAGAAACGTTCACCATTAAGCAACAAATCTCAAGCACAGAATCACATTTGAAAGTGTAAACAGCCATCACAATCTTCCCAACTATGTTTCCTTCTACCCAACAACCAAAAGGAACACAGTAGACGTCTCTGAGCACAAAACAATTTAGAAAGGTGTCATTTTCTCACCTGTCACTGACTGCAGAGGTGACAAGGCCACAATCAGGTTCTAATTAGACTTCAGTCGCAAAAAAAAAAAAAATAAAAAAATATTCTGAAGACGTTTTATCTGCAATTCTTTTCTTAAAACACATAATCTTATGAAAACGAATTTAACTTGTAACCCACACCTATTGGAACATTTCCCCACGCAGAAGCAAATTCAATGGAGACATACAGAGAAAAACCACAGATGTGTTTCTGTGTCTGCTTGCCCTCCCCCTTGCAACGAGGTGGTTTGTTTCTTGGTTTTTGTTTGTTGTTGTTTTTTTTTTTTATGGCACAAGTAAGAATTCTCGAGGAAGTTCTCCCGCAACGCACAAACACGCACCACCTCCACCGACGAGGCGCGGCAGCCGGACTTCCAGCTGCTCCGCCTGCCCGGCCCGGAGCCCGGGAGTGCTGTTTACGGAGGGGGAGGGAGCAGCGGCGGTGCCCCGCACAGCCCTCCCGGCTGCAGAGCTGCCCGCGCCCCTCGAGTGCCCGCCGCCGTGGGGGAGCCCCTGCCCGCGGGACAGGACATGGGACACGCCGGTGCAGCCGCCCACCCCCACCCGCCCCGGGCGGCGCCGGCCCCACTCACCCAGCGGCGCTGGCAGAGCAGCCCGGCGCGCAGGCAGCGTCCGCCCGCTCCCTCCCCATGCACGGCGGAGCCGGCGGGGGACGCGGCGGCAGCTCCGCGCCGACCCGCGCTCTGCCCGCAGCCTCCGCCCGCCCTCGGCTGGGCGGTGCTCCGCGCTCGCGTCACCGCGCCGCGGCCGGCCGGCCCTCAGCCCGGGGCGGGAGGCGGCGCCGCGCACAGCGGATGGCGCTCGGTGCAGGGACGCCGTGCCAGCGGCCAGAGGGCAGGCACAGCGCGGCACAGTCTCCCATGGGGCGGCAGCACCCTCGTCACGGAACCACAGAATACTCTGAGTTGGGAGGGACCCACAGGGATCATCGAGTCCAACTCCTGGCCCTGCACAGCATATCCCCAAGAATCACGCCATGTGCCGGACAGCGTTGTCCAAACGCATTTCGAACTCCGTCCGGCTCCGCCGGCACTAGAGAGGCGGAGGGCACCAGGGGGTTGACAAACCTCTTCCCAGTCGGGAAGCGGAACCGCTGCCGTGCGGGCGGATGCTGCTTCCTGCCTCCGCTCTCACCCGAAAGTTGGTGTGGGCGACAAGGGATTCTTGTGTCTGACAAGTCTCCGTCTGTAGGAGCTGCGGTGAGGTGAAAGCTGGATTAAAGTGAGGCAAAGGGCATCAGACCAGCGGTTCCACAGACCTAGCCTTGTCCGGCCGTGGTAAACAGAAGCAGTGCGGTCTGGCAGCACAGTAGTGCGTGTGTTAGTTGGGCCAAAGGAAAAATGCACGGGTGGTTCTTTAAGCAATGCGTGTGTGTGCTAATTCTGTCCCACCTGCCGGGATTTATTGCACAGTTCTGACTTTGGAAATGTATGCTTTTCTGTAACTTCTTGTGTGTTGTTTTCTTATTTTCTTGTCCATTCCAAGTAAACACACCTCACCTGAAAGCTCAGGAACCAGGTTGTCTGTTAAAAGAACACAAATTGGGACAGGCAAGAACTAAAAAGCCATGTAAAATTTCGGTAGATGGCGAGTCACAAACTACCAACAGGCTCGTGCTCATGACATGCAGTGATTTCAAAGCCAACTGTTACCTCTCAGCTAGCAATTTGGTACTGTTAAAATATAATTATTTAAGGACAATCTTGTCACTTTCATTTCTCTAATGTCATGTGTGGTTTTTTACTCTGTGCAGAAGAAAAGAGTATGCCCATGTCCTATAGCATTATCTCACAGGAAACAAAATATAGGCCATTTCAGAACTAGAAATTAGCTCAGTAGGTACATTGCTTTACATATTTGTTTTTCTTGAATATGGAGTTCAAAGGATACCTGATGATTTTGAAATAAAGTCAATTACAGCATGTTTTCTTCTGTAATATCTAGCCCTTCATCTCACAGAAAGTTTCTGTGGTATTACATCCTGGTATTACATCCTCTACTACTTTGCTTTTCATTTTTAATGTATCTTTCCAGGTTGCAATGTGGAAGACTCGCACAAACATGCTGCAGTAACCCTGACACCTCTTCCAAGCAGGGAAAGGAAACAAACTGCAAAATAAAAATACTCTCATGCCTCCCAAATAAAATTACCTAATATGCCACTGGTATCCAGACCAAAAAGACTAGGAGAGGAGTGTGCTACATTGGGTGTGCTCACTGCATATCTTAAGACTCTGCTCATCAAGATAGCTTTGGACAGAACCCTGTAAATGCAGAGAATTCTACTGAAATAGATGTTATATATTGTTAAGTTTCAGCAGTTTGTCAGGGTCAGGTGTAGTTGGATCTGTAAAACTTCCCAGCCTCTGGAGTGATAAAGCACGCCATCACTTGATGGGATTGTGGAAGTCCAATATGTGTTAGGACTCCAAACATTACAGATTATCTAATGATACCTGGTGTTTTTGCTTTTGTTAATCTTCTATTATAATTAAACATATTTCAGTATAGCATTGCAAGAAACACTATTGTCATATGAAATATCCTTTTTCCCTAGTCTGTTCAGGGTTGTTCATTACTTTCAACAGTGTTCCTTGCTGTTACGTTGATTTTTAACAAGTCCTTTAAAAGGTATCTGCACCCAAACTAAGCATCTCAGATTTGCATCTTACTACCATTTAAGCATCCCCCTTTCCTTTTAGTTTGCTAAATGATCATATATGGTGTCCATACATTTGCATGTTACTATGCTTGGGTAGAAGTGTCAGCCTGCAACAGGGGGTCAAAGCATCATTTATCTGCATACTGTTCACATATTTCATTTTGCATATTCACACACTGTGAATATACCCATGTGTAGGGTATAATAACACAGGCATAACTACAGAATCAAAAATTAAAGAATGTTACACACTAAACTTAGTAAACATATCCCCAAGTAACAGACAAAAATATTACCAATTATATACATGATTTCCACAGGTCTTGTAACAACTAAAGAAGATTTTGTTTGCTTTTCAAAGAAAGTTACAAAACTGGCCATCTGTGCAAAAGGCTTAGTTTTACTTTCTTGATTACTTCTGTGTTCCAAATTCTGAGATAAGCATGCATACCAGGAAATAGGTTTTGTTTCATTTTTGTATTCAAAAAGCTAAAAATTATAGAAATAGTTCTGTGGTAGCTCCTTCAAAAATTCTCATAGTTGGATTTAGATTTGTTATTTTCAGCTGAAACTAAAATCAAAGCCTATTTTCTGTTCAGGAGGGGGGATTATTTGCAAAGCCTTCATGAATTACAACACTAAGGAATTATTTATTTAAATCAGATCTATGACATCAGGCTGCATGTATTTCACTCTTCCTTCTACTTTTGGAGTAAGATGTAAAATTCTTATTGTTTAATGATAAGTACATATGTTGTAATGTTTTTTCTCCCTTTTTTTTGTATAGGCTTAGCCTTGGAGAAAAACATATTTTGCTTTAACAACCATGCTTCTCCTTTAAATATATGGCAGAAAGAACACTCCTGAAGGAAACTTTTTAATTTTTTACAGTCGTTCTCTGAAACCTATTTCCTGAAATCATGTGAGTGATTACCTCTTTCCTGGAGGAGAACAGAAGAACAAGCACCTGTAAATACAGGTTTGCACATGATTCATTTCCAGAAAGGACACACTTCTATTTCATCCACTTCAGGAAAACAAACTAGAAAAAAGTACCATCCCGTGGCTTTGAGGGCCCCAACAGTAAGCAAAAGTTTGTCCCCTTCTAGACACCCCCTTAATTACTGTTCCTTTGAGAGACAGTAGAAAGTACCTAAAAATACCTGCTGTAATGCATTTCTGCTAAAACTGCTTTTGGAGCGTTTACCTAAGAACACAAAAAGTACTTCTCCAGACACTAAATTCTACTCTGATTGCTGCTTCTGGTGGAAGACACACTTCTTTTTCTGGTTTTTTTCTCTAACAGCTGCGTTCTTGATCAGATACAAAATGCTGCATCATACAAGAATCCCACAGGGAAAAAAATATAGAAGAAATCCCCAAATAAACATGTTAAAAAACCTGCAAGAACAGGCATCCGTTCAATTGCTGAGCAACTGAAAAGCAATGAGAGAGTACAGCGACTAAAGCAGGACAACGACTTCTATAAACTAGAGAGGAATGGAATCAGGTAAGGTTCTCACCTCCTCTGTCCATAACTGCCCTATTTCCTTTCCATAGCATTTTCCAAGGGCTGGGTAAGCTGCCATTTTCCAACAGCTCTCTGGAATTCTCTCCAAGCGATACAAGAAGACACAGAAGAAGCCTGCTTTGTAGCCTACAGTGATCAGTAATAGTGCTCAGCCTGACAGATTCTTGGTTTGTACAAGGGATGTGTGTGTCATATTTCTTACAGCGCTACTTTCTGTGTTGGTAGCATATGCACAGGTCAACCCCATGTACCGTATAACAATTTCATCTGTACCTTTCAAATTGAAATGTTCTGGTTTTGTGGGTTTCAGTAGTTTCTGATAGGTTTCCTGCAATTAAAGATTAAGTGATTTTTTTAATTTACTCTTTAATAAAGCTGATTGCCTTATGTGAACAGCAAGGCTTGCACTGATCTCCACACTGCTTGTGGCTCTGTTAAACGTTCCAGCACTTTGAACACTCTCGTCCATGTGGCTCAGCAAGGTTGGTGTGGATCTGATCTTGCCAAGTTAGTTGAGTCACAACTGAGCAGCAGCGTGGGATTTCCTTTTAAGGAACAAGTGCCTTTCTCCTGTTAGAGGATAAAACCTAGCATGCAGCCAACAGTTATGTAGCTGGAAAAAGCAGGCAGGCAACTAAGTGCAAGCAGTTGGTTAACTGTAGAACTTAAAGAAAAAATCTTTGAAATGCAGTCCTCTGATGGGAAATGGCTTGATATAAATGGCAGTACAGGGTATCACAAATTTACTCTTACTTCATGACATTTTGCTTAGTGTCAGAGTAAACAGTTAAGTATACCAGTACTATGTGCTAAGGAAAAAAGTCAGTAAGTGAGGTTCTCAAAAACTGCAAACAGAATGAAACAAAACAAAATTAATAAAACTGGAATTTGAGGTTGAAGGAGAACCTTGAAGCACAGACACTGCAGACCTCAGCTTACAGTGTTTGTCAGTGGCTCTGGAGCCAAAACTCCTAGTGATTGCAACAGGAATGCTTCTGGAGTCCATCAGTATGCTCGGTCTCTGTTGAGTTATGCTTTATTTCCTAATCAACTTTTGCTTGCATAGGTTTGCTTTTGTTTTGTTTTCCCTTAAGACTATTTCATCTTTAGAGCACGGTATCTTCTGTGCTTAACTGATACATAAACACAGTGATATGTAAATTTCTATTGAGTTTGTGTGGCCCGGTTTTGGTAGTGGCAGGGCTACATGAGTGGCTTCTGGGAGAAGCTGCCAGAAGTTTCCCCCATATCTGGCAGAGCCAGTGCCAGCTGGCTCCAAGATGGACGTGCCACTAGCCGAGGCTAGGCCAATCAGAAATTGTGGTAATGCCTCTGTGATAGCATATTTAAGAAGGAAAAAAAGTTATTGGGCAGATGGAATTGCAGCCATAGAAGAGTGGAGTGAGAATATGAGAGGAACAACTAT